GCACAGAAGACCAATGGATAAAATGGGTATATTTGCTAGAAACCCTTCAAGTAGAGTCTGCTATATGTAAAACTGTATTGTTTTACACTGATCTTGTACATCTTTTTAGATAACAATCATGCAAATAAATGAAGCTGCCGTGTTTGTTTTGCATGTTGACATCTCTAAAGCTTGCTCCTTGTTTGTGGTCAGATCTTGTGCAACCAAAAACCCTATAGAGCCTCTTAAATGAGATACCAACTTATTAACTCTGCACACAGCAAGAGTCAAAGTTTATGCAAAGTACATAAATTTATTTCAGGAGAGAATGCCAGATCAATGGAGTTTCAGGACTTACATGGTGTATGTTTACCCAGTTTTGGACGTCAGCAAGTATTGCCGTGGGTTCATGAACAGAGTTGGATATTACTACAGGATGTCATCGTCCTATTATTACAGCTATGGAGATAGCAATGGTGTCAGCATAATTGAAATCAATGAACCACCACGAGAGTTTATCACAGTACAAAAGTTTGATGAAATAGATGTTATTGAGAATGACGATCCACAAGTAGCCAGATACAGTGGTGAGTTATGTGCTAAACCTGGTTGTGCAAAGAGTGCCATAGTAAATTACTTCATGTACCATTATGCCTTAACCCTTTAACTCCCATAAGTGACCAACACAGGATTTCTCCTTACAATATCAATATAATATCACACAGATAAGTGATGAGAATAAAGAAAAGTATCAATTTAGGGATGATAAGGTGATCCAATGCTAAATTCTCTGAACCAACATCATAAGAATTATATGGTTGACAGTCAGGAGATTTACAAAGTTGATCTGGAAGTTAAAGGGTTAAACTCTCAGAAGGGATCAACAAGGAACTTCTCCCTGTAATATCTTTACAGCGTCCAGTAATGCAAACAGGTCATGAGAATACTCAAATTTATCAGGTAGAAGTTATCTTGATCTAACACCAGATGCTCTAAACCAGGAAATGTCTCGCAGCTTGAGGATAATTATTAATCAAATCTTGGGAGTTAAAGGTTTTTTACAAATTTTAAAAGGAGATGTTTGCCTATATGTAATGGATTTGAAATAAATTTCCCACTTACTGAATTAAGACAATCCATTTAATAACCTTATATGTACCATGTAATCATCCAAAGTGTCTTCAATTGTGCAAACAGCTTTAACATTTGAAACAACCTTTTCAAAATCTGCCTTGTAACATAGCCATGTACAGAAAAACTGCATCACATATGTACAGCTCACAAACAATTGTAATACTGGTGTTAACCATTTGAGTGATGAATGCCTTAGTGTGTAGCTTGCAATTTTTTTAAACAGTGCACAACAAGTTAGATTTTTTAATTTAAAATGGAAGTATCCATGTTGTATTTTTAACAGATAATTATCTGATGTCAGAATTACATGTACATGTACAGGCTGTACATGTACCTATTGGATCTGTTGAATGGCTGAGATGAAAATTGTATAATTTCTGGGGCTTTAGAGACAGTTGTTGTCACCATTATCTTAGTTTTCACTGATAGTGTAGTAACACTTGGCTTTCGGGTCAATTTACAGTACACACTATTTATTTTTTCAGATGACAGTGATGATTCATACTCTAGCATTGTTGTTAATAGAGGACACCAGTGGCTTCAATGTGTTTCACAGCGTTCAGGCCTTCCATTCTGGTTGTTATCGTCTACCCTTTTCCTGTCCATTTTCTTCTTGATATGGTTATGTTGCGCTACAGCGACTACTACTCCAAGAGAAAAGGGCAAGGTACAGTCTGCAGTGTTGTGTGCTGTGTTGTCATTTAAAAAAAAAAAATTAATAATACATCGTAGTATTAAACTTTGAACAAGAAACTGAAGTGATACAATCACTGTGAAGCATGAGGCCCTTCTTCTGAGCATTTTTCTTCTTTCCCGTGAGTGACCAAGACAGAATTTCTCCTTACTATATTTATACAATATCATGCAGACAAGTAATGAGAATAAGAAGATATCAATTATGGGATTACTAATTGAACTAAAACCCAAACTCTCCAAACTTACATGATGAGAATCATTTGCCAGACAGTAAGGAGAATTACTAATGAAATCTTGAGAGTTAAAGAGTTTAGGGCAGGGCTATTGTTACCTACAGTAATATGGGATATTTTCTGCTCCTTTGCATAGAATTTGATATGCTACTTTTGATAAAGAAGCAAATTGAATTAAAAGTGATGTCATTCAGGGAGTGTCACAGCATAAGTTCTGTCAAATTAAATTGTTATGCTCTAGACGTATGATTAGTCAAGAGCCTTCAGTTAAAAGACAAAAGACAAAGTTGACACTATAAATGAAAAGTCTGCAGTGGATATTGCATTGATCATGCCAAGTTCAAAATCTTCTAAGTTTCTAAGCCCCTCATCCTTGTAGTGTCATTAAACATTTGTAGAAACTCAAAATGGCTGAATACTTGTAAAAAATGTAAATTTAAACAATTACTGAATATTGTTTTGCATGACATCATGCTTGACCTCATCCAATAGTTGCTTGTTATTTTATGGGAAGGTAATCTTGAGGTAAATCTGAGCCTTCTTATTGGTTCTTTGGTACCTGATTTTCACAAAATAAACAAGTTCAGTCTGAGTGCTATATAATACACTACTCAATAAAATTGCTTGCTTGAGCTGTAGTGACAAATACTGGGCCTTGTCCTTCGCTGCTTTCAGTGTGTACTTGCACAACCTTGGGCCAATATTCACCCGTACAGCCCTTGTGCTTGATTAGTAAAAGTCCTATTCATTTTACAATTAACATCAGTTTTACAACTCTCAGTTTCCTTGTTAAGTGATCATGCAGCTACAGTAGTTGTTTTAAAACCGGTCACAAAATTTTGTCATAATCATGATGTGTTACTGAAACAAAATGGTCTACTTTGTTTAGGCATCTGTTGTCGGTGAGCTTATGTTGTTAGATGATGATAGTCTGTTGGAGAAAATGCCGCTGGTTACAACTGATGAGAATGAGGAAGCAGGCCCACTTCCTGTCAAACTACACATTGATGCAACAGTGCTGTAATGGAAATTTGATCTGCAAGTCATATGGCTGTGATCCATGAAGTGGGAAATAGTTACTTAGTTTATGTCTGAATGGGACTTCAGCTTCCTTACTCACTCCATGTTGGTGCAGGCCTATACAGATTAAGCATGGCTACCACATAAATTTAATGATGTTGTTTACTTGCCTCAAAGAAAAAGTTTCATAGAATTAGTTAAACCTTATTCTTTTTACTCCTCTTCAGTCACAGCATATAAATTATAGTTCATCTTATCCTCTCTGGTACAAAATAATCTTTGTTTGTAAAAGGAATTACCTATAATGATGAATCACAATAGTGGTTTACTTCGAGAGGGACTTGTAAAAGACTGTTTTTTTCCGGTTTGTTTGTTTTTCCTTTTCTTTTTGCACACAGCTGATGCTCATATGCTGTAACTGGAACACTTCTTAAAGGGTTTACTAACTACAAGTATGAATGATAAAAATTTCTGAAGCTAATTAGAATTTTGGACAAGAAGATTGTTGGAAGATTAATGCTATCAATGTTTCGAAAGTAGTGACTGAGTAGTTATGGAATGAATCCTCTTTTATGCCTTGTAACTTATTTCTGTAAATAGAATCAACAACACAGCTTAACTATTGCATAGTAGGGAGAGATGTTTAAGTAAATATTTTAACTGCACAGTTTTCGACTTAAATCACTGTATTTTGACCTAAAAGACATGCTCAGGATTATTCAGGATTATTAGAGGTTAGTGTTAGAAAGTTCCTCTCTTGCAAAATGTCACTTCCAACATATAATCTCATAATATGAAAGTTAAGGCGTGAAGATACCCAACTTCTCATGAATAATAATGTGTACTCTGTTGATCTAGATTGTCATTACTCTGAATGAAGATGTTTTTTTTTCCTCTCTCTTTCTTTAATTTTCCCCTTTATTTTAATTTGGTTATGTAATTTATTAATAAAGTTTGCATTTAGGAGGGTAAGAGAGGGTTTTATAAATAATGAGCTTAATTTGCATGAGTTGAACTTTTGGAATGTAAAACAATTAAAGAGGTTCAAAACCAAACAAAAAAAAAAACAACATTGCTTAGTACGTAGATTATTGTAAAAATCTTGCATAACTCTACATGAATTTTGATGGTTCTGACCCATTATTTATCAGAGAATAAACACGCAGGTAGATGGTACATCAAAATTTGGGATTTCTGTTGTCTCTCCATTACCCAGTCACTAGGAATTTTGAATTTTTTTGTTGTTGTTGTTGGTAATAGTGTCGATCTTGTAACAGCATTGAAGAAACGCTCTTTTGTGGTTTACTTAGTTGTTAGTTGTTTGTCTTTCCCACTCTCTGGTGTCAGAAGTGATAAGCGGTTCCGAGGCTCCCGTTACTCCTACCTTCTCCTTTCCTGTCGCCTGTTTCTATCGGGATGGCGAGTGCTTTCTTTTCGTATTCTTTAGCCTTGTGATATTCCCCGAGGGAGTCGAACACATTTCCGAGGTTCCCGTTACTCATACCTTCTCTTCTGTGTCGCTTATTTCTATTGCGAAGGCAAGTGCTTTCTCTTGATAATCTTTAGCCTTCTGACACTCGCCAAGAGGATGGAACGCAGTTCCGAGGTTCCAGTTACTCATACCTTGTACTTTCCTATCGCTTAGTTGTATCGCGAAGGTAAGTGCTTTCTCTTGACATTCTTTGACCTGATATTCGCTAGGGGATTAGATATCAGTTCCTAGGTTCCCGTTACTCTTACCTTCTCCATTCCTGTCGCTAATTTCATTGCGATGACAAGTGTTTTCTCGTGACATCCTTTAGCCTACTCAGGATATTCGCTAACGAAGGGAGTAGAACACGGTTTCGAGGTCCCCATTACTGGTACCTTTTCCTTTCCTTTCGCCAATTTCTATAGCGAAGGCAAGTGCTTGCTCGTGATATTCTCTATTTTTCTGATATTCGGCTAGGGAGTTGAACACAGTTCCGGGGTTCCCGTAACTAGTTCTTGTTCCTTGTCGATCGCCAATTCCCATCGTGATGTCGAGTACTTCCTCGTGGTCCTCTTTTACCTATTTCTTCTCACTGATTTTATTAAAAAATACAATTCCAAGTCTTCCATGAGCCACTGCTTCTTCTCTGCCATGGCCAGCCGTATTCATGATTGCGATGGCGCTTTCAAAAAATTAGTATGCTCCACAAACCGACCGTGTGCTCGGTATTCGTCTCCCTCTTGTATGGTTAGTCAGTTCCAGCATGGTGGAGCGTGTCAAGAAGTTAGGTTGCGAATCTTACCGCGTTTATGCCACTATAGATGGCGTAGAATGCATTGAATATATTCAACGCATTCTACGCCACCCATATTTCTTCAGAGATGTTGAGAAAAATACTAGAATTAACATTTTGGAGTAGAATTACGTATTCATTACCAGTGGCGGATCTAGGGGAGGAGGGGCAGGGGTGCCCTCCCCCCTCCCCGCTCCTTATTTGGTCCAATTAAAAAAATCGCAGAGGAAAAGAAAGCCGGCAGGGCAGGCGACACAAAACCGGACCCTCTTAGCTTAAGGTTTGCATCCGCTCCTGACTACATAACCAAGACTGTTTTTAAGGTTTCTACATGATTGTTCATAACGGCTGTCACCTGTGTGTGAAGAAGAATGGTTGATGTCTGAGAAAGAAAATCAAATAACGTAAGATTGCGGAAGAAAATGACAACAAAATTAAAACCAAAAAAAAAAATGGGATTTTCAGCAAAATATAATCCTCGCCAAATCGAACCATCTTGGGCAATTTGTGAATGAACAACACAAAACAAAGCAAAATAACTGTGCTCTAGATAAAAAAATTAAGAAAAAACTTGAAATGGAACTACACCGCTTTCCAGCTTCCCAATAATTTATGTAAAATAACCTCATGCGAATTTCTGTTCTTCTTGCATCAAAATTTCCCGTTACTTCCGCACATGATCTGATTCATGCATAAAGTGTGTCTGCTGTAACTCTCACTTTCTGTCAACTGTTCCACTCATAACTTCTCCCTTTAGTACCCATATATTATACAACCAACAGTTTTGGAGAATGAAGAAACTTATCAGCTGGAGGGTGTTATATTGATGTAACACTTCATTCTCTAAACTTATTTACAGTGACATTTACGGCAATTGGAAAGGAGACTTGGCAATCAGATCTTGTCAGTTAATAGCCCAATATTCAGTTAATAGTTTTATCCTGCAGACTATTATATGCAATATAACTTTACCAAAAATTTTGGATTGTTTAGGGCTTTAAATGGTTTTCTGTTGAATGTTTAGTTCAAAATATTTCAGTTTTGCAAAGCGGGAAAAGATTTTTTCTAAAATCACACTTTAATACTGCATTCCTTTTAAGTCAGAAAAGTGTCTTTTTTAGTATTCTGATCGAGTGGCTGTGGAAGCTAAGAGTAAGCAGCAGAAATAATGCTTTCCCTGCAAAACAGAAACGAGTAACAATGTATAGTGTGGAAAAAGGTAAAAAAAAAGATCGCTAAGAAAATCTTTAACGGAACTACGTCTTTTTCCCGCTTCCGATGGTCTAAAAAGAACAAGATTTTTGTTCCTTTTACATCCCAATTTCTCGTCCCTACACCTAATTCATGCAACGTGTGTCTGCTTTAACTCTTTCACTATCAGACTGTTCAATTAATAACTTCTCCCTACAGTTCCAATATATTATCTAGCCAACAGTTTTGGAGAAATTTTTTTAAAGAAACTTGTCAGTTGGACACTTCATACTCCAAACTTATTTACAAAAGTGACATCTAGAGCCGAAAATTAGAAGAGAGACTTTGTGATTAAACTTGGAAGTTAAAGGCTTAATAGTGAGTTACTCGTTTTATTTTGCAGAATATTAAGTTTAAGTCTATTTCTCTGCGATCAGTCTTTACCAAAATCCAAGATTATTTCGGACATTTAAATCCTCTTGCTGTTGAATGTTCGTTCCGAAACACTTTAGTTTGTAAAGTGGGAAAAGATCGTTTATAAAATCCTACTTCTTTTTACTGCTTACCGTCTTAGTCAGAGAAGTGTCTTGTTTAGTATTCTTATCCCAATACTAATGAAACCAAAAGTAAGAGACTGAAATGAAACTTTCTCCGCAAAATAAAATATATGACAGCTTGGTGGGGGGAAAACATTCAGTAAACCAAAAAGGGAACAAGGGATAGCAAGTGTGTCGGAGACTTTGTGATTCGTGCGCGACGCATGTCAGATGATGAGTGTGAACATTATGTCAAGAGCTAGATGCACCGCCTGTTGTGATTTTGTAGCTTTTTACACAGCCTTTGTACATAAGCAAATACGAGAGTGGAATAAAACGGTTTGATTGAGTCTAGTTCGTTAGAACTAGTAAACAGGGCAAAGTTTACGAAAAGTGAAACAGTAATTGTTGCTTCGTAAAGTAAAGCATGCAGCTGAATTTATAAAAAAGAATCACCAGCTGATGTCTATTTAGGTTATGTTACGAGGGGCGAATCTAACCCCACCCCTGAGGCGCCGAGAAAGAGTGAGTTCCCCCTTGAACGTCATGTCCTGTGTTGACTGAACAGAAAGGCGGGGCCGGGAGGGGGTGGGGATTGGTAATAGGAAATCGACCATCGATCTGGTCAGAGTGCACGATATGTACCTCTTGAAACCGTCATCTTCCTACAAGGGACTTCCCCGTAATAATTATTCATAATCAGCTTACGTTAAATTGGACATCAACAGAGTTGCGTTACTTAAGGTAGTGCATCACGTTCTATTGATTCCTCTTTTTCTGAGGCGCAGAATTTCCTTAAAGTGAAAATATTACTTTACAGAGTAGACGAACACTGCCTTTGCTTGAATATACCAGACGGAAACATAGATGGCTAAATCTAGGAGAGTTTGACTCGGATTGGGCAGGGCTTTCATTTTTCAGACGCCGTAGCCGTAGCTTAGCAACATCAGTTAAAGTGCGATTGACCAATCGTTGACTCCACTCAGGTTTCCCTGAAAAATACTCATAACCTGCTCTGCCTTTGAAAGCGAAGAGGTAGGCCTCAGATTAACTGAATTACATAAAAAGCGTGTTACGATTTCTTTTTCACAACGTAAAATCATAGAGTTTTGTGTGATCATGGAAACTGAAAGAAAAACTCACATGCATGCATAAAAAAAAGAATACTACATTTTTCATCAATATGACAAAGGAGTGGGGACCATACTTCAAGGGGTCCACAGTTGCCAAGACATTTCCTATTTCTTAACTGGTAAAATAACAACTTTTTCAGTAACTGAAGTCTAACCTGGGAGACTCCACTGGAACTTAGCGGGTGTAGGTTTCAGCATCTTTTTGGGTGCATGAGACTTTAGCATTTCAAATTTCGCACCTTAGTACTAAAATGTAATCCTTGAAAAGATCTCTTTTTCAAAGGATGTACACCGTCAACGATGATAGCTTTACCAGCCTTGAATGAAGAGATTTTTTTGTTTGTCTGTGTGTTTGGTTTATTCTTTTTTTTTTTTTTTTTTTTTTTTTTTTTTTTT